AAAACTCAACTAGTATACAGGCTTTAACAAGCAGAGCAGATGGTATTTGTCTCACTATTGCAACCTCCCTTATCAAAGTGAGACCTGCTTGCCACAAATGAAGGAAGGGAGAGGAGGCCCTGGGCCCTAGGGCCTGTTGAAAGAGTCCTCAGGAAGATAAGCAACCCAAGTGCATCTGCATTAACTGAGAGAGCTCGCTGAGACTTCGGCAGCATGGAAATATACCAAAGGCACAAAGCGAGCCTGTGCCTTATCCCTGACACTGTCCTTTCCCAGTTCTTGGCCTGAGGGCTTGGACCTGGTGAACACCCTGATGCTTTATCATTGGTTAGCAGCTAAATTGGGATGAAAACTTTTTTAAATTAACATAAAATGATAGCAACTAATCCCACTAGTTTCCAAGGAGGTCTGTGGACAAACATCTCAACTATTTCTTCTTGCTCTACTTAAACAAAGCCTCCGTTTAGATGTGTGCCCAAGGGGGCTGAGGGAAGCACACTGTAGTCATTGAGGGTTTCTGGACTAGTTTTATTTGCTGACCACTAACGGGTCCCTGAACTGCTACTATTCGGAGTCAAATAGTCCTGTGGAAGGGTGCCTGAACCCCACCAGCTTTGGTGCTATCCAGGGCCACCACTTCCAGGACCTGATTTATAGGACTAATAATTTACATGGTACAATGGAGTCAGTGCTTGGGAAGTGGGGAGGAGAGAGCTAACCTGGAACATCAAAGAAAGTGCAAAAGTTGCCTACCACAAGATAACCCAGTAGAGTCAACATTAAGCAATGGGTAAACAAGGGGCAGAGAGTTTTTTTCCAAAGCTAGCATTTTGCAAGTCACTTGGTAGAGATTTTGCTGACAAACTCAGGGAAAGACCCAAATGATAGCATTTCACTTCTGAGAGAAGTAAATTAATGATAACTCCAAGTTGTCTTTACGAACGATAAGGCCCAATGCTTTGTGCTTGCTCAAAGGGATGAAGAAAAACAACAAAATCTAGAATTGATTTAGTGAGAGACCAGTGCCTCTGTACAAGTAGTTATTGCTTATTCCTAAGAAATTGCTCCTGAACTCTCCAACCTCCTCCCTCCCTTTCCCCCATTTTTGGTCTATACGTGGAATGACTGCAGACATGATCCAGCTTGATCACCAGCTTTCAAGGTCTCTAGTTTGAACAAATGCTATGTGTTCCACTTGAAGAGATTCTTAAATGGCACTTGGAATTTCAGCATAAGTATGACACCGCAGCTTGCATCCCTCAGAGAATTGGGCTATCAAAAAGAAGGTAGCCCTTGGTCAACATAGGAAAGCACCTCTCTGAGCCAACAAGACCACCATGGTGCTCATTCTACTTATTAATAACAACAGCACCCACACAGGACACAGGTAGAGCATCCTGCTTTGTGTTAGCCTTCTGTACTACAGAGAAGTGCTGACGAGGTAAGCTCTGGTCACAAACCTCCTGGTCCCATTGTCAGCCCAGTTCACTTCTAGCTGTCTGACCCTGGCCAAATCATTTAAACTCTCTAGCCTTCAGCTTCTTGACCTATAAAATGGGGGATAAAAGTGGTTATGGGAGGTAAATGCGCTGAGTAATTCAAATAAAACTCCAAAGCACAGGCCACACGCACAGCATGTGCTCCATAAAAGGGAGTCGCTGCCATTATCTTCCTTGCTCCATGTTCCTTTTGTCCATTTGGTCTGCCTAGAATGTGTCATATCTGCCAAGGTTTTTCTCTCAGTCTGGGGGCCAGTTCTAATGGTCTCCAGCTGACGATCTGGATGGTTCTTCTATCTCACTTTTCAGGGGGAAAGTGGAAATCCAATTTCCTTATATCTAAGTGAGCTCACACTCTGACATGGATGAGTCTGTCACTTCTTATAGACCCACCCAGCCCAATAATCAAGACAATCAAAATATTCAGAAAAAATTCAAACTTTAAATATTGAGACCAGAGGTAATCTCACCTATTTTTTTAAAAATCCATACTTTGCCTTTTTCTATTCAAAAGTGCCCTTTACTTCTCTGAGTAGAGCCTATTTCAATGCTCTCTTTAAAAATGTATAACTTCCCTCAGTCCTTCCAAGAACAAAAGTCTGCTGCTCAGAGGAGAAGGGGGAAGGGAAGAATTCAGATTTCCTTCAGATTTAAAAGTTGGGGTGATCATGTAAACCCTCATATCCCTTTTGATCCTATTATATTTTTCATGGCAGAAGCTCGCAGCGAGGGCTCAAGTGGGATGCAGAAGAAGTTTTAACATTCAAGGGAGCAGACGAACTTGCCACGGTCTGTGTGACTGAATGGGAAATTTCCCAGCTCGGGCCTGCTGGGGTAACAGGTCGCTTTGCCTGGACTGGATTTGGGTCAAACAGCAAATCCTCAAATCAGAAAATACCAGCATGTTTTGTTTGGCAAAAAAAGTGGGTATTGATCATGATATTCCTATTGGATCAAAGATGCCATCTGTTCAACGCAAATTAGAGGGTGACCATCTAGCCTCAGCAAAGTTCTGCCACACTCCCTGGACCACAGACCCTTTGCATGGGCCTCATCAAATAGGAGCTAATAAAACCAACTAAGAAAAGATGCCGTTCTTTGCTTCCCATGCCTCTTTTGTTTCTAGGTGTCTGAACAATAAATTGACTCCTTAATCCTAACAGGAAGCTCTGGGAAAGCATCCTTGGAGCATTTTCTTCACTCCAGCTCATCTGAATTAGCATGTTTGCATTAAAAATTAATGACAAAAATTAATGAGGTTACATGAGAAGGTCAAGAAGATTTGTATGGGAAGGGTGGGGCTTCGCTAAAGAGCAGGACTCATCATTTATTTCCCTATGGCCACAGAATCTGGGCAATCTAAGGCATCCAGTCCACAGAGGAATCGGAAACCAACGTTCCTATATGGTGGTGCCTTGAGGGCAAAAAGGGGAAGAAAAAATCCCAGACGTCAGAGACCGTGACAAAGATAACCACAAGGAATGTAAATAAAATATTATTACAAGCGGCTCACTCACCACCTCACACTCAGCATCTCCCTCCCCCAGAGTGAGAAGTAAAAACATATAAAGTGTGTGTGTTTTAAAGAAGTGTTGAGCTGCTCTTTGGGAAGAAGCCATGACTATGAAGAAGTTTTTTTCTCCATGTGGCTCACTTTGATAATCACAAGGCTTGAGACAGTTTTAAGAGCCCCGGGCTGTTTACTAATTTAAATTTGGGGAGCATGAGGTTGAGCCCCATATTGATAAGTACCTTCCAGCGGTGACTTGATCTTAAGTCAGTGATAAGCCCTGTTTACCTCAGCTTTGGAAGCCCACACCCGGGCCCTCTCAACATGACATCTCAAAATGAAACAAATTCATTGCAAACACAAACTGTAACACACCAAACGCTTGCCAAATGGACATGTGTACATTTCACAGAAGAGCCAGGAGGACATTTCCAGCAAGCAACGCTCGCCATGCGGAACGCAAGCCAGAGCTCTCTCCTGCCAAGGGTCCGGGGCACACAGGAGTCCATAAAGGAAACAGGCCGGTAGAAATAACTTCAAGGGACAAAATCTGCCAAAGCACTGACCACTGGGTCATAAGAGCCATCTTAAAGAACTGTGCTCTCAGCTCTCTAAGGATGTCCCAGAGCTCCCCACCTCACCTGATGGGGAACCCTCCACACCCACCCTTCAGTTACCCCTTCTTTCGAACAGAATCCACACCCCAAACTGAAGGAGGAATTCCAATGCACCACTGGTGTCACTGGTGCCACTGCTGAAATCCATTTACATCACCTTTGGCCAACCATTCAGAACCCAGTGTTGACATTCATTCTCTCACTAAGACAACGAGGGCGTTAGAAGCTGGTCACTCTCCACTCCATTTCTAAGGCTAAAGGTTCCTTTTCTTGGTTAGTCTGTTTGAGACCCTGGAGGGGTGGGCCCGATGGCTCCTGTTCTGTTCCTGGGAGCACCACATGTCTCAGGCCAGAGAGGCGTGGACAGGGGCTGTCGGGCATTGCCTCTGTCAACCGCAGTGGTGCAAGCAGGTGACTCAGTGTGAGAACTCACAGACTAATTTCTCCCAGCCTCTGAGGAGCAGTCTGCAGCTTTGTCTTTTCATTGAGAAACCTTCCAAGCCAGCCAGGGCGCCTGGCCTTCACCGTCCTCACTCTTCAGACACACTCCAACGGTGCTATATTTTACCACTTAAACACTTCTTCAAACTTTACTACGGAACAGTGTGGCTCTGAGCCTGCCAAAAGTTTAACTGCAGGACTCCGTGCATTTTATCTGGCAGAGCAGCTGCCCTCCCTCTTGAGAATATGTTCGGGCAAAAGGAAGTCATCAAACCTCAAGTCGGGGCCGTTCTGGGGTCCCAAGGGTCCCCTCTGACAATGCAGCTCCCTCTCACTGTGACCTCTTTCCCGATTCCAGAGCTTCAGGATCCAAACGAAAGGGGTCTCAGTAGACAGCTGTGGAAAACTTTGATGGGATGATCGGGGACATATTTATTCCTGGCGGGACTTAACTTCTGATTTTCAAATATCTGGGGGAGCTGAGGTTCAAGGGAGATGAAGGGAGAGTGCCAACGAATGAGGAAGAAAAAGGAATAAGTAGCATACCATGACCAAGCCAAACCAAGCTTGATATTTCCAAATTATTGGCAAATGGATGCTTTCACAAATCATTTGTCCTGTCTTTCCTGGAGACAAAAAGAAGAAAAAATGCAAAAATCCTAACCCCAGACCAGTGGAATACAATCTAAAATTGCTGGTCAGAAAGTCCAACCTTATCTATTCCAACAAGCACCCCTAAGCCGAAAGTTGTGATACGTTGCTCAGTGTATTGCCCCCTCGCTCCTGCTTGGCACTAGGTTAAGCCCACGGTATCATGCATCTTACATGATATTTTGGGCAAATCCCTGCAAGTGGGCAAAGGCGCCAGCTTGGCTCCTCCGGCCCGCCGCCTCCTCCTCCAGGCTGGCCCCTGGCTGCCCCGGTGCCACTTACCTGCAGGCGCTCCGTGGCCGGCTGCCACATCTTCCAGCCGTGGGGTTTGGCAGAGGAGACGCCGGCGAGACTCAGTTGATGCGCTTGGGGGCGAGGGGCTGCGGGTCCGCTTTACATTTGGGGTCGGTGTCCCAGGGATGTGCGTCCCGGAGCCGGCCACCACGGCCGCGGGGTGGGCGAAGGGGGCTTG